AATAAAAGTATTAGTCAGAGGGCTGAAAAGGGTTTGTTGAGGTGGTTTAGTCATTTAGAGAGAATGGATCAAAGTAGAATGACATGGAGAACATATAAATCTGTAGGGGAAGGAAGGCGGGGTAGGGGTTGTCATCAAAAAGGTTGGAGGGAGGGGGTAAAGGAGGTGTTGTGGGAGAGGGGTTTGGACTTCCAGCAAGCGTGCGTGAGCATGTTATTCAAATTCAAATTCAAAGTTTATTCTCTATAAGTATTACAATGCTGAGTTTACAGAAATTTGGTTATTGTGTGAATGTGAATGGACACAAATGGTATTTGGGACCTGACGATCTGTTGGAGTGTGAGCAGGGTAATATTTAGTGAAGGGATTCAGGGAAACCGGTTATTTTACATAACCGGACTTTAGTCCTGGAAATGGGAAGTACAATGCCTGCACTCTAAAGGAGGGGTTTGGGATATTGGTAGTTTGGAGAGATATATTGTGTATTTTTATACGTATATACTTTTAAACTGTTGTATTCTGGGCACCTCTGCAAAAACAGTGATTATGTGTGAGTGAGGTGAAAGTGTTGAATGATGATGAAAGTATTTTCTTTTTGGGGAATTTCTTTCTCTTTGGGTCACCCTGCCTCGGTGGGAGACGGCCGACTTGTTGAAAAAAAAAAGAATATATATATATAATATATATTATATATATATAATATATATAATATATATATATATATATATATAACACACAGTGGAAACCCCCCCTTAACGATCACCTCCAAATGCGACCAATTATGTAAGTATATTTATGTAAGTGCGTTGTACGTGTATGTTTGGGGGTCTGAAATGGACTAATCTACTTCACAATATTCCTTATGGGAAAAAATTCGGTCAGTACTGGCACCTGAACATACTACTGGAATGAAAAAAAGTTCGTTAACTGGGGGTCCACTGTATATATATATATACAATATATATAATATACAAGTAATATATATATATATACATGTATATATACATATATATATATATATAATATATATATATATATATATATATATAATATATATATATATATATATATATATATATATATATATATATAATATATATATACAGTGGACCCCCGGTTAACGATATTTTTTCACTCCAGAAGTATGATCAGGTGCCAGTACTGACCGAATTTGTTCCCATAAGAAATATTGTGAAGTAGATTAGTCCATTTCAGACCCCCAAACATACACGTACAAACGCACTTACATAAATACACTTACATAATTGGTCACATTCGGAGGTAATCGTTATGCGGGGGTCCACTGTATATATATACATGTATATATTTTTTTTTTATTATCACACTGGCCGATTCCCACCAAGGCAGGGTGGCCCGAAAAAGAAAAACTTTCACCATCATTCACTCCATCACTGTCTTGCCAGAAGGGTGCTTTACACTACAGTTTTTAAACTGCAACATTAACACCCCTCCTTCAGAGTGCAGGCGCTGTACTTCCCATCTCCAGGACTCAAGTCCGGCCTGCCGGTTTCCCTGAACTCCTTCATAAATGTTACTTTGCTCACACTCCAACAGCACGTCAAGTATTAAAAACCATTTGTCTCCATTCATTCCTATCAAAACACGCTCACGCATGCCTGCTGGAAGTCCAAGCCCTCGCACACAAAACCTCCTTTACCCCCTCTCTCCAACCTTTCCTAGGCCGACCCCTACCCCGCCTTCCTTCCACTACAGACTGATACACTCTTGAAGTCATTCTGTTTCGCTCCATTTTCTCTACATGTCCGAACCACCTCAACAACCCTTTCTCAGCCCTCTGGACAACAGTTTTGGTAATCCCGCACCTCCTCCTAACTTCCAAACTACGAATTCTCTGCATTATATTCACACCACACATTGCTCTCAGACATGACATCTCCACTGCCTCCAGCCTTCTCCTCGCTGCAATATTCATCACCCATGCTTCACACCCATATAAGAGCGTTGGTAAAACTATACTCTCATACATTCCCCTCTTTGCCTCCAAGGACAAAGTTCTTTGTCTCCACAGACTCCTAAGTGCACCACTCACTCTTTCCCCTCATCAATTCTATGATTCACCTCATCTTTCATAGACCCCATCCGCTGACACGTCCACTCCCAAATATCTGAATACATTCACCTCCTCCATACTCTCTCCCTCCAATCTGATATTCAATCTTTCATCACCTAATCTTTTTGTTATCCTCATAACCTTACTCTTTCCTGTATTCACCTTTAATTTTCTTCTTTTGCACACCCTACCAAATTCATCCACCAATCTCTGCAACTTCTCTTCAGAATCTCCCAAGAGCACAGTGTCATCAGCAAAGAGCAGCTGTGACAACTCCCACTTTGTGTGTGATTCTTTATCTTTTAACTCTACGCCTCTTGCCAAGACCCTCGCATTTACTTCTCTTAAAAACCCCATCTAAAAATATATTAAAAAACCCACGGTGACTCACACATCCTTGTCTAAGGCCCACTTTTACTGGGAAATAATTTCCCCCTTTTTCCTACATACTCTAACTTGAGCCCACTATCCTCGTAAAAACTCTTCACTGCTTTCAGCAACCTACCTCCTACACCATACACTTGCAACATCTGCCACATTGCCCCCCTATCCACCCTGTCATATCCCTTTTCCAAATCCATAAATGCCACAAAGACCTCTTTAGCCTTATCTAAATACTGTTCACTTATATTTTTTCACCTGTAAACACCTGGTCCACACACCCCCTCCTTTCCTAAAAACCTCCTTGTTCATCTGCTATCCTATTCTCCGTCTTACTCTTAATTCTTTCAATAATAACTCTAAACCCTACCCTTTACCAGGTATACTCAGCAGACTTATCCCCTATAATTTTTGCACTCTCTTTATTTCCCCCTTTTCCTTTATACAAAGGAACTATGCAGCTTGCTCCTGCCAATCCCTAGGTACCTTACCCTCTTCCATGCATTTATTAAATAATTGCCCCAACCACTCCAAAACTATATCCCCACCTGCTTTTAACATTTCATCTTTATCCCATCAATCCTGGCTGCCTTACCCCTTTTCATTTTACCTACTGCCTCACGAACTTCCCCCACACTCACAACTGGCTCTTCCTCACTCCTACAAGATGTTATTCCTCCTTGTCCTATACACGAAATCACAGCTTCCCTATCTTCATCAACATTTAACAATTCCTCAAAATATTCCCTCCATCTTCCCAATACCCTCTAAAACTCTCCATTTAAATAACTCTCCTCTCTTATTTTTAACTGACAAATCCATTTGTACTGTAGGCTTTCTTAACTTGTTAATCTCACTCCAAAACTTTTTCTTATTTTCAACAAAATTTGTTGATAACATCTCACCCACTCTCATTTGCTCTCTTTTTACATTGCTTCACCACTCTCTTAACCTCTCTCTTTTTCTCCATATACTCTTCCCTCCTTGCATCACTTCTTCTTTGTAAAAACTTCTCATATGCTAACTTTTTCTCCCTTACTACTCTTTACATCATCATTCCACCAATCGCTCCTCTTCCCTCCCGCACCCACTTTCCTGTAACCACAAACTTCTGCTGAACACTCTAACACTACATTTTTAAACCTACCCCATACCTCTTCGACCCCATTGCCTATGCTCTCATTAGCCCATCTATCCTCCAATAGCTGTTTATATCTTACCCTAACTGCCTCCTCTTTTAGTTTATAAACCTTCACATGTATATACATGTAATATATATATATACAGTGGACCCTCAACCAACGGCATTAATCTGTTCCAGAGAGCTTGCCGTTAGTCGAATTTGCCGTTGGTCGAATTAATTTTCCTCACAAGAAATAATGGAAACAGAATTGCGTAATCCGTTCCTGACACCCCAAAGTCTGAATTTTTTTTTTTTTTTTACATGAAATATACATTTTTCTGCACCAAAACAAATGGGACATGCAAAATGAACAATAATTAAATGCCACTTACCTTTATTGTGGAGTTGTTAATGAGTGATGTACCAGCAGCAGGGGAGATTCAGATTTTCTAGTGTTTGGAAGGGGAATCCCCTTCTATAAAGACTTCAGGTACCAAGTCCTTTGGTGGGGTTACCTCCCTTCTTGGTTTTTTAATACCACTAGGACCAGCTTGAGAGTCACTGGACCCCTGTCGCACAAAATATCTCTCCAGAGAGCTCCGTTTCTCACGTGCCCTTAAGATTTCCCTAAAATGGGATTCAAGATTGTCATGGTACATGTTGCCAATGCGGCTTGCAACTTCTGTGACAGGATAAAATTCATCGATAAATGCTTGCACCTTTGTAAACATTGAACACATTTCCCTAATCCTTGACAAAGTCATCTTCCTCCATCTCTCTTCATCCTGCTCTGAAGAACATTCCTGAGATGTGATCTGTTGTTGCATCTGAAGCTCTTGCAGGTCTGCAGTGGTTAGTTCTTCCTCGTCGTTCTGCACCAACTCTTCCACGTCCTTGCCACAAACCTCCAACCCCAAGGACTTCCCCAATGACACAATAGCTTCCACTACTGGCACAGCCTCCTGAGGGTTAGCCCCAAACCTTTCAAAATCCCTCTCTTCTACACATTCTGGCCACAGTTTCCTCCAAGCAGAGTTCAAGGTCTTCTTAGTCGGCACCCTGCCTTGGTGGGATAAATCTGGGTCACTGAAAGAAAAAAAATATTCAGTACAAATAATGTACTCTGTGTATGTACTGCATGAATGTAACTGCTATATGTGGTATATGTATTATTGCAATAATAGTGTATTACATTGTAATTGAACAATTAAACAACTGTTTTATTATTACTGCATTCATGGGGAATGATAAGCTCCCTGGGATTATAAAGCAGGAAGGAGAATAGTAGGCAATTATGTTTCATCCAAGGAAGTGGAGGACAAGTCCAATTCATTAGATAAAGGGCTCCTTACCAGCATTAGGGAACTTCCCTTGAGGGTTAAGGACTTTAAGCAAGTGCCAAAATTTATGCTTCTGACAATGAGGTTTTTATTTAGTAATTCATATGGTATACAAAATTTTGACAACAGGATTTATAAGTATGTAACTGCATGTAATAAGACATGGAGCTTCAAATACAATACAGTACATACTATCAAACATTCCTGGTGTAATGTACACTTTTCATTGAAAATTTTTTTCCATTTTTTATTAAATATATTGGGTCACTATTTTTGGTGGTGGTATGTATGCTTTCCCGCTCTTCTTTTGCTTCACATCCATTTGCTGCAGTTCTCTTCCTGAAAGAAAGATCAAAGAAAATAGGTAACTATGGAGACAAATGGGATGAAGTCAACAAGTGGCAAGACACAATTGCACAGTGACCACACTGAACCAACCATTTGTATGACTATGCTTCTATCAAGTTGCCTGTTGTGCATCTATGTGTATTGACTGAAAAAACCTGTTCTACATGCAAAACTTCTTAAAGCTCCTTTTTGCAACTGTCTTTTTGACCAGAATTCAATTCCTTTATTATTACATTTACAGAAAAAAAGAGAGAGATAAACCCAAGGAAATCACAGCACACTAGGAACAGCGGGTAATCAACTTTGATCCAAGGAATGGGAGGCTATTTTCAATTTCTTAGAGTATGAGCCCTTCACCAGCTTTAAGGCTTCCTTTTGAATGGCACTAAACACTATAATTCTTCAAATTCAAAGACTTAATAAATAAAATATGAGAGAGGAAAAAATAAAAGTTCAGAAAATGCAGACTCCTACCCCTCTTAAGTTTTCTTACTTCCAGAACCATGCAGTTAACAATGACTCTGGCATTTAATTTTGATCTGCTATTTCTTTTAATACATACCTGTAATTCGTTTGATTTTATCACCATAGAGAGCTCTCTTCTTGAAGTCTGCTGCCTTCTCAGCAATGGATACGTTTTTCTTGATTTCTTCTTTTAGGGTTCGTACTTTAACTCCTCTCTGTAGAGTGATTTTTCCTTCTGTAAAAATATAAAATTTTTAATAAAAATCTCCAGTAGGTGGAACTAAAGTGTATATGTATGAACTGGCAAACAAATACAGGTCGGCCATCAGTAATCTGGCAATCAGTTATCCGGCTCCACCAGAAATCCGGCACTAATTTCAGCTAGCATAATTTCAAATTTCATCATTATACTGACTCAGAAATTGTGTAGATGGTTGTAAATCCACAGCAGCAAGCCAGTAGAGGAGGAAGCAGTGATGAAAATGAAGATGTAGCAAAAAGAGTCTTTATTGACAGATTAATTCAGTTGACAGGTGAACTGCTGAAAGGTCTAGAGCAACGCAGTTTTATAAGTGAACAAGCAATAATGAACCTTTACATGCTGCAGGATAAACTAATCAAAGAAAGGCCTAACCACTCTGTAATCCGGCAAACTTTTTAATCCGGCACACTACAGGTCTCAATGATGCCGGACCTGTATGTAGTTAAGCATTAATGAGTGGGAAATTGTTGCCTTTTGTTAAAATATATTACAGATCCAAATGATGCTGTAACTGATACACATGCATCAGAATTAAAATGAACATAAAAAAGCAAATAAAAACTCAGAGACACCCTGATCACCAAACCTCTCTCACAACACTACTGTATTAAGTAATATCTAATTATTGCCAGTATATATCCCACCATAATTTCTAACAATGTTCCTAACCTTCATCGATGGTTTCATCCAATGGACTATCATTACTATTATCGTCATCATCGTTAAATGTTTTACTATTTCTTTTCGTTTTGATAATTTTTACTTTCTGCTTAGGTTGTGTTTTCTGCTCTGCAACTACAGCGTCAAGAATATCCTTTGATAGCCTTTTCTTACTCTCCTCCATTAAGCGCTTCTTCTGAAAAAGATGGAAGAAAAACTCTGTTTATAGAAGAAATGTCTTAAAAGTGAAGGGAGTGTAAGACAATACAGGGATGAAAATTAATCTGAGTGGAAAATGAATGATATGAAAGCTATCCTCACAGTTAAGTTACAAGTGATTTACAACATTAATCAACACTGGTACCAATGAAATTTTCATCTTAACAATGTACCATGCTTGCAGATGCATAAAATATTATGCATAGCAGAAAAAGAAGACTAAATCCCTGAAATTTAAAAAAACTGAGGTATCAGTGTAAATAGGTGAAGGAATTTAATACTCAAAAGTGAGAGACATCTTGAGTGACAGAAAGAAACAGAGAAGCACATTCATAACAGTAGTGAACTGCAGAAACAGAAGTAAACTGAGATACTTTTTATAAATTTGACAAATCATACAGGTGGAAACCATAACTAAAACACAAGAAGCAATTTGCCATCAAGCTATATTTTGGTAGCTAACAAAAACCCATGAAAAAATTAGATAACATTTTCTGTAATCACACTTCTTTACAGATGTGGAAAATATACTAGGGATTGGACAATACCAAAATTTTGAGCAACATTGATACTCAAATTCTGGCTGATACCAATGCCATCCAAATTAGTTGATACCCACTCATACCAGTGTCAATACCAATACCATAAAAATTTGCCAATACTGATACTCAATTTTAGGCCAACTCTGCTACCAATACCTATACCATCAAAACTAACAGATATCCACTGATACCAATAATATACCTGGTGTAATTCTACAGTCAAGCTGAATGAAACACTGGGAAAGACACTGGAATGCTGACTGAAATCTTACATAATCCAGATTTGTATTCCACTGAAAACTTATTAGTTGTACAGTACATAATAAAATGCAATTTCAAGGACATCAGTATTTTTCCCAGCACCATCGTGCATGCCAAGGAACAATGCTGTAAAACTAACAACCTTTTAATAACCTCTTAACTGTGATATACCTGGAAAAAATTCCTGTACATGGCAAGATTTTGAAAAAAAAAAAAAGAATGATTTTTTCTTACAGAATGTAAGAGTGCATTTTTATAAATCAAATAAGACTAACATGAGTTAGACTGGTAGACATCAGCCACCCAGGGAGGTATCACCGTCCAGCCAAGTGAGTGTGATATGGAAACCCAGAATTGTTTTACATGATTGTAGGATTGCTGGTGTCTTTTTTCTGTCTCGTAAACACACAACTTTCAGGTACATCTTGCTACTTGTACTTATACTTAGGTCACAGTACACCTGTATGTACATGCTTGTATATACGCACCATCTGGGTTTTCTTCTATTTTCTTAATAGTTCTTGTTCTTCTTTATTTCCTCTTATCTCCATGAGGAGGTGAAAAAGAATTCTTCCATAAGCCACGAGTGTCGTAAGAGGCGGCTAAAATACCAGGAGCAAGGGGCTAGTAAACCCTTCTGTATAAATTAGTAAATTTAAAAAGAAAAACTTTTGTTTTTCTTTTTGGGTCACCCTGCATTGATGGGACACGGCCAGTTTGTAAAAAAAAAAAAAAAAAAAAAAAAGACTAAAATGAGTGGAATTTGACAAAAACTCACTATTCTATGCTGAAGTTGGCAAAAGCAGAGTAAATGCACTAGCGGTATTTACATTTTATAATTTACTGATGCCTAATTATGACTGTTTTTCATTACTGTATTGTAATTGCTTTTAATGTTTACCACTATGTACACTAGTTTCTTATATTAGATATGTTTCAAGGTGTTTTAGTACTTCAAACATGGGGAGATGTTTAGCCAAACATTGATCCACAAAGAACATTTTATACTGTTTTGGTTTTCTAATAGTATGTTTAGGAATACTAATGATATTACAATTATTATAAGGTGAAATACACCTCAAAACATGAAAATGAAGTGACATTATCTGATTACATTTGATTATCCTAGGTTAATTATTTGTTATATATTTAGGTCTGTGAGAATATCCTAGGTTATATAAACACTGTGTGAGCATAACACTTGTTTGATTTCCATACTCTTGTAAGACATGTATTTACAAGACAATCTTATTACAATTGTTTCAGGGAGTAATACTCATTAAAATATGGAAATATGTCACAGTGCTCAGCTTTATTGAATTATCCTAGATTAAATATAGTGTGCTTTGTGACTGAATTCAACTGTTAGTATCATGAAATTTAATAAATTTGGAATGCATAAGTCATCTACTTGGTAAGGAAGCTGGTGGTGGAACAACAAGTCTTGATTTCATTGTTTACATACGCTAGTTAAGCGTACTAGTATCTTGGGCAGTGAGATCACCTGTGCAGTTACCTATGGAGCTCAGTGTGGATCTGCCTGGTCTTAGATTTTTTCAAAGGCATGAAAAGATTGTAGAAGAGCTAGAGAGTTGTGCCGAGGTCAAAAATGTTGGCAAGTGGGAGATTTGAAGGTACAAAAAACTGTGCATGTGGGTACATTCTACACATTGACATAATTTATGTACTAGTACATTGGACACAGTTAAAAGGTTAAATATGGTTAAATCTTGTTTGCAACATGATTTCTTTAAACTTAATGGTCATCTCAAGCTAAGGTAAAGTGGCCCTATGAAGTAAGCTTTCTTTAGAGAAGATTGCCGACACACAGAATATATTTAAGTCAACTCTTATGCACTTTTCTGCTAATGGAAATTAGGGACAGGGCAATACCAAAATTTTTATCAATACTGATATAAATATTTTCAATATTTTGTTTCATTTTTAAAATTATGATAATTATGTTCAACAGATATTAAATAACCTATTGGAAGTTAAATATTAAATAAATTCATTTCTCTGAGAATCCAATGCCATTTTTTTCACCAATACTGATACCACAAAAATAGCCAATATCCACTGATACTTATTTTTTTTTTCCACCAATACTGATACAGTACCACAAAAATAGCCAATATCCACTGATACTTACATTTCAGTACACCCCTAATGACAATCATGTGGACATACAAAGGTAGACATTACCATGAGATGCTGTACATTATTAAAATAAATGCTAAGTACAATAAAATTAGTGTAAATGGATTGAGATTATTTTGGCAATGCTTCAGAAGTTTTTGAATCTTCAGTGATTGGTAGGAAATCTCTAGATACTTTCATAACAGTAAAGTTGTTTAAATAACAATGTTTTATATACTTTCTCTGCTTGCTGGAGTACATTTCTCTCCTGCTTTCTTTTCCTTGCTTCCTTGACTTGTTCCTTTTGTCTCTCTCTTTCTGCCTGTATCACCATTTCTTGCATATTTGCCTTCATCTTGCCCACAGAGATGGTGGTTTCATCTGGAGCCAAGTCAGAGTCAGAAGTTTCAGGATCATTGCTCCAGGCTTTGCTGGTTTCAACTGTAATATAAAAATGGCACATGAAAACTTTAGGTTCTGTATGCTTTATACACTTACAAGGTAAATAAAATATGAGATGGAAACAATCGATGACTAACAAAGCCATAAATGGTAAAATACTACTACAGTGAAGGTGTAAATGGTTTAAAAGTAAGACAGTAATCTTAAGACAATTTTCTTTTTCTTTTTCAGGCCACCTTGCCTTGGTGGGAGATGGCCAATGTGTTAATAATAATAAAAAAAAGGCATTGTTGAGTAGGCTACTTTAAATTTTGTTGCTGACAGTTTTAAAGCAACAAAATTTAAGGTAGCCTACTCAACAATGCCTTTTTTTATTATTATTAACACATTGGCCATCTCCCACCAAGGCAAGGTGGCCTGAAAAAGAAAAAGAAAATTGTCTTAAGATTACTGTCTTACCTTTAAACCATTTACACCCTACAAATTAAAAGCCCTTTCTGTATAAATAAAAAAAAATTATCTTCCTAAGTGTTAGAGAACAAAATTATGCAGTAGCAAAATTGGAGGTCACAAAGCACTTTATGCAACAGCAAATTCATTCACTTTGGAGCTTATTTTAGACCAATTCCTGTGCTCAAACCGACCCATTTCAAAGTTATTTCACTAGTATTCTTTCTATATTAACCACTGATAAGAATCTGTCCCCCTCAGTTTTATTCATAATACAGTATCCTGGATTAGCCACCCAGGATAACCCAAGAAAGTCAGTACGCCATCGAGGGATTGTCTGTCTTACTTCCATTGGTGTCCTTAAATCTTGTCCCCCAGAATGCGACCCACACCAGTCAACTAACACCCAGGTACCTACTTGCTTGCTAGGTGAACGGGATAACAGGTGTAAGGAAACACATCCAATGTTTCCATCCTTGCCGGGGATCGAACCATGGGCAGTGTGTGTGTGTGAAGTGAGAGCACTGCCTATCAGGCCATGGGCCATTGGTCCAATTAATTGAGTCAAGAGCCTCTCGCCGTCATAAAGAATTATTAGGATTAGGACAATTATGATTAATAACTCCCAAGAGTTAGTAATGAAGTCAGTGTGATTTATTTTTGTGCATATGTTGCTTCTAGTTATTATTATTACTGCATTCATGGAGAGCATTAAATCCGTCGGGGTCATACAGTACCTGGAAGAATGGAAAGCATTCATTCAGTCTCAAGTCAAGGTACATGAACACAGGCCCAGTTCCTCAGATCAAGAGCCTCTCATCAGTATCGAGGAACCTCCCTTGTGGGGGTTTCTTCTAGTTATGCTCCGGCATGTACAAGAAAATAACATTAGTAACTTTGACTTTTTTTTGGGTTATGCTATATCTGTACTTACGTTTGCCTGTGCCTATTATTATAATCATGGGGGAGCGCTAAACCCGTAGAATTATACAGCGCATGCATGTAGGGGAGGATGGAAGGTATTCAGGCTCAATTCAGGGAACCGGAGCACAGATCCAATTCCCTAGATCAAGAGCCTCCCTCACTAACGTCAAGGAACCTCCCTTGAAAGGACCTGTGCCTAACAGAACACATGACCATAATACAAGGCACAGATCACTCTTTGATGTTCCTCGTGTCCATCTCACGCTATGCAAAAACTCAATGCACATAAAAGGCCTTAAAATCTGGAATTCATTACCTGTAAATATAAAAGAAACACTACCTGTTTATAAATTCAAGTCTCTTCTCAAAGTTCACTTACTCACTCAAAACCAAATAAATACTGAATAACTGAACCAAATAAATTGTATATCCTAAATGTTACTCACAATTATATCACACAAATGTTAAACCTAACTTTGTTATTTTTTTTTTTTTCAAATACACTACCTGAATGAACAGCAATGCATGCAACCATATGACCTGTCTTTGTAATACTCATTTGTATTTTATAGTTATCTGTTTACAATAATGTCTTATCACTGATTTCATCATTGCTTAGTTAATCTTAAGTTAATTTTAAGCCAGCCCGTAATGCTATGCATAGTATAAGTGGCTTTGGCATGCTGCTCTTACCTGTATTTTTTTGTACCTCTGTATGTATGCTAAAATTTATAAATAAATAAATAAATAAAAAATAAACTTATTTACTGAACGCATTCTTGCTAGTGCCACGTACCCATCGTAAGAACAGATTTATTTATTCTCTCTTCAGGATACCTGACGTTCCTTCCCTTCTTCAGGATATGCGAAGTTTATTCTCTTCTTCAAGATGTTATTATAGACTTGTGCAGCATCAACACCACATGCACCTTCTTGTTGTTAGGTTTGTAAGGGCCACTCACAGCTTACGATGTGTCCGGCACTACTGCCCGATGTACAAATAAGTTTCTTTCAACTTGAAAATTTATTTATTTATTTATTTATTTATTTATTTATTTATTTATTTGAACATGATACAGAGAAGTACAAGGAATAGAATTTTTAAAGTGTATCATGCCAAAGCCCCTTGTATGCAGAGCATTATGTGCAGGCTTAAAGTTAACTTAAGATTAACTAAGCAATGATATATTCAGCGGTACAAAAATTATTGTAAAACAGATAACAATTTAGTACAAATGAGTATTACAAAGACAAGTCATATGGTCATTGTTGCTGTGTAATCAGTAGAATGGAGTATTCTGTTAGGTAATGAAGTTAAATAGTAACAAAGTTTGATTGGGTCACAGGTTGACATTTATGAGATACAATAATGAGATACATATATGAGATACAATTTATGAGATGCAATTATTCAGTATTTATTTAGTTGTGGGTGAGTAAGTGATTTTTGAGAAGAGACTTGAATTTATAAACAGACAGTGTTTCTTTCATATTCACAGGTAATGAATTCCAGATTTTAGGGCCTTTTATGTGCATTGAGTTTTTGCATAGTGTGAGATGGACACGAGGAACATCAAAGAGTGATCTGTGCCTTGTGTTATGGTCATGTGTTCTGTTGAGGTTGGTAAGATGTTTGAGGGGAGGTGTGGAAAATTACATTTATCTGAATGTATCATTAAATACATAACAGTAAATGAACAAAGATAATTATTATTTATCAGTTAGACAAGTAGGAATTTGGGACACCTAGGTCGCAAAAAATGTCCCCCTTCGATACCTACCACTGTCATATCCACAAGTTGCTCGCTTCCCCTTGATTATAATAATAATCTGGACCCATTAATTACAAATAAAATATATATCACCAGGAATGCTGGTAAATATGTGGAAAATACTGTATATATTTTCCGTAAATACGGTAATTTATAGGTAAATAGATGGCCTATATTGTATTTAATAAAAATTATATTACCTGGAGTTTACCTGGAGAGAGTTCCCCCCTCAAGGAAGGTTCCTTGATGTTGGTGAGGGGCTCTTGATTTAGGGAATTGGATCTGTGCTCCAGTTCCCCGAATTAAGCCTGAATGCCTTCCACATCCCCCCCCCCCGGGCGCTGTATAATCCTCCGGGTTTAGCGCTTCCCCTTGATTATAATAATAATAATAATGGAGAGAGTTCAGGGGGGTCAACGCCCCCTGCGGCCCGGTCTGTGACCAGGCCTCCTGGTGGATCAGAGCCTGATCAACCAGGCTGTTGCTGCTGGCTGCACGCAAACCAACGTGCAGCCAGCAGCAACAGCCTGGTTATGGAAAATGGGAAACTGAGCCTGCGCCTGCGCAGAGGAGACTGGCCATCTTGGTTTTTTGAATTTGTATTAGAAACGTTGGTGAATAGGGAAGAATTTTTCGTGCTCTAGAGGTTAAAATTGTGCTGACACCTCTCAAATAGGAGGCGAAATTGGTGGATATGCATTCCTGCATAACTTGAGATATCAAACGACTGGACAAGACAGCTCCAGGAACCTCGGATAAGCTCTCTAGATTTGTGTGTAATTCTGGCCAGCATTATTTTCATAGATTTAGTTAGAGTGAGGTTTTCTGAGTATGATACACATTAATCTTCAGTCAAATTGGTGAATGATATTAAGATATATTGTCCTTCTGTTATGTAATTGTGTATATATATATATATATATATAACCATTTATTATTTTTAATATACAGTCCACAAATTTATATATTTACCAGTATTCCTGGTGTATGTATATTCCATTTAATAGTAGGTCCAGAGCAACTTGTGGATATGACAGTGGTAGGTATCGAAGGGGGACATTTTTTGCGACCTAGGTGTCCCAAATTCCTACTTGTCTAACTGATAAATAATAATTATCTTTGTTCATTTACTGTTATGTATATAATGATACATTCAGCTAAATGCAATTTTCCACAAAATATATAAATACATTTTGTGACTGTATATTAAAAATAAAAAAATTATATATATATTATATATATATATATATATATATATATATAATATATATATATATAATATAATATATACATATTTATATAACAGAAGGAGAATATATCTTAATCATAACACTCACCAATTTGACTGGAGATTAATGTGTATCATACAGAGAAAACCTCACTGTCTATCTATGAAAATAACACTGGTCAGGTTACAACATAAGACTTATCTGAGGTTCCTGGAGCTGTCTTGTCCAGTCGCCTGATATCTCAAGTTATGCAGGAATGCACATCCAACAATTTCGCCTCCTATTTGAGAGGTGTCAACCCAATTTTAACCTCTAGAGCACGAAAATTCTTCACATTATTAATTAACGTCTGTTACTCTCAATTCAAAACAATGGTGGCGAGTGTCCTCTGCGCAGGCGCAGCTTCCCGTTTTCGATAACATAAATTTTATTAATACAGTATGGCCATCTATTTACATATAACTACTGTATTTCTGGAAAATATATACAGTATTTTCCACACTGCGGCCGGGCCGAGTTCATTGCTAAACGACTCAAATTGCTCATTTGGCAATGGTAGAGGACCTGGGTACATATAGGATCTGGCATCCACACGGCGACATATTACACAAGATTTAACCACCCTTTTTACACTTTGCCGTCCTTGTGGAATCCAGAAAGTTACCCTAATACAATTTAAGGTATCTTGTACCCCACCATTCATTACATTTTTATGGGCATTTAGAACAATTTAATTTGTTAGATGATGAGTTTTGGGCAGTAAGATAGGGTGTTTAGCATAATCACCCAATTCAGCATTTTGTAACCTACCTCTGCACCTAATTACATTGTTCTCTAAATACAGCCCCAATTTTTCTATTATGGAACCTTTCACAATTTTTCTTTCCATCATCAATTTAATCTCATTTCCATAGATTTCTTCCTGTACCCTCTTTATCCAATATTCAAGAGGACGTGAAAACTTATATAAGATATTCATCTTGTTTAGAAATTTAAACACCAACTTAGTTACATTGATTAGTTTGGGTAAAAAAAAAAAAAAAAAAAAAAAAAAAAAAGATCGACACCATGCCCAGCCCTTCTAGGGTAGGGTAGGTGCCTGAGCCCGAGCCTTTAGCTCATAAGACTGTCATTCCCATTTGCCCCCATTGGGGCGGGGATGGCAGACCAGAGAGGCCTAGCTTGTGGCTAGGCCTGGGGACAGTTGGTCCCAAAGATGAGGAGGTACTTGTGCCTCCTCCCATGGGAGACTTAGGTCTCAGACACTCCCTAAAGAGGGAGCCAAGGCCGGGCCACCACTTGGAAAAGGCCCGGGCCGGGAGAATACCGGCTAATCTAATTAATTAAAAAAAAAAATAAAGAAGAATACCTATTATTATCAATGGCTAATGAAGGACAAACTATTGGAGCGGTGGTCACAGTAATTTCAACAGGAGCAATATACGCCTTTTGTACAAGCCAATTAGCTTTATTTACCAACCAACTTTGTCCTTTAAACCATGATACAGCATTTACAAATTTAGCATAAGGTAAACCTCAAGACAAGAAATCAGCTGGATTCTCCTCACCAGGTATATGATTAAATGTTAACATATGTTGACCCAAACTATTATACTTCTCTTGCATCTGATTAATTTCAGCGACTCTGTTTTGTACGTACACAATTTTACTGTTTCCATTACAAATCCATTGTAAGGATACCTCATTATCAGACCAAATTACAGTGTCACTATGTTTATCTCCTCCCAACTTA